GCATCGGCGTGCTCTTTGCTAGCAAGGGGGATATTAGGGTTGAAAGTTTTCACCGCGGAGACTGTTTCTGTCATAGCACTCACCCTGCTCGCGTCACCTTCTATGTCAGTATGAATGATGTGATCTGGTTTCTGGATGATTTATGCTGACCACGTTAGTTAAGAAGGCTTTATATTATGCTATAACCTCAGCCATTATTTGTTGTGGGAACATTTCACCATACTCTCTTCACCATCTTGCTGCGACGTGCGCGTGTTATGCAATACTCTCATAACCGAATCACCGGGACTCGCAAGTACAGGGCAAACGCATGCAGCCCATAAGCCCTACAGGGCCGTGTTGCCTTCACGTCCTATCTCACGAAAACACCGCGATCTCACGTAGAGTAGGTGGGTTAACTCGTGAAATCTCAACCGAAATTCCGAAATGCATTTTCGCTTTGAAAAGATTACTTAAGTAGGGTTGTACAACTAATCAGTTTACAGTATAATTCTATAATAATTCAGTTACCTCAGGATGCTGCCTTTTGAGCGACCTTCCTTCCGGCTGCAAATAACGACTGCTTGAGTAGCATGAATTTTTCAAATTAATTTACAATGCTCCTAAATTTCCAATTATATTTCACGAAAAACATGCATAGAAATATTCCTTCTTCCGTCATTCGATGGAAAATTACGTTTTCTTTTAATTTTATGCTCGAAGAAAGGGTTTGATTTGGTTTAAAAAAACTTCTCTTGTTCCCTAATAATTTTGAACCCGCTCTGCCGTCACACTTGCGTTCGGAGTTTGCAAATTACAAGCCATGTATTTTCCACGGAAAACCACATATTTCTTTACGGTATCGAAATGAGGCCGAATGGAGCTCATGAAAATTAGCATTGCATTTGATCCATATTGTTAACTTTACAAGCCACGTTGGTATTTGCGGAGACATGACGTTTTGTGAACGACCACTTCACAGTATTTAGAAGTCTCACAAAAAGAAACTTTTAAAACCTAATAATGTCCCTCCAGCGGGTATAAAATTCAATGAAGACGTAATTTTCAACTAAATGAACAAATGAATATATATTTCTATGCATTTTTTCCATAAAATACAATTGGACTTTTAGCGGCATCGAAAATCAGTGAGAAAAATGCATGTTTCTTAATTAGTCATTTTTACAGAGTCTGGTTTTTGCATGCACTCGGAACGAAGTTCGTTCGAAAGCCAATATCCTGAGGTAAATGAAATATTAAAGAATTATACTGCAGACTTACTGGTTGTAAAATCTCATTGAATTAATCTTTTTGAAACAAAAACGCATTTCGGAATTTCTATTGACATTTCGTGTTTTAGCCCACTTATTGTAACTGTGGTAGTCTGAAGTCCCAGTCCTACTTATTTGCGTATGTGTTTAATTACACGACGAGTGTCTCTTCTTAGAAGGACCAAAATAACTTGCCGTAGTTGCACCCTTTTATACCACAGACAGCGTGTTTACCGCATTCTGCAGCATACAGTAGTCCACATTTGATTTTTTACGGAAAGACTCTCCCTAACATACAGCCGTCTATGTTTTTAAGTGTAAATCCTTTACAACGAGACACACTCATTTGTCCTAAGACCACATACTGCTGATCAGAAGATTGGTGAGACCAACTTGACAATAACACTATGTAACTACAGCCAATTTTTGCTTAGATGGACCTGCATGTTTTGTTTTGAAATCCGCAATCATTCAGTCAGCACATTTGGAGTAAACGACAGAAGCCCTGAAACTTTTTTAAAGGGTACAGATGTAAGGGAAAATAGTTAAATTGCAAAATGTTCGCTTGCAGTTTTAGTAAAGAGAATTCATAAATCTAATAATGGAAAATAAATGCTAAAGGTGTATGGTATTCGCGAAATAATTGCAAAACACTTTGTTCACCGCATTTAGACTGTGAAAATTTCCATATGGGTCAAGTTTGACGCACAAAAAGGATCTGTTGAAATCATGTTAATGATATATTTATAGTAATCCGTTAGATCAGGCTTTGGCAGTTCGGGTTGCCTTTCGGCAGGTGAGTAACCAGTTGTCATTTGAACACATTCAAGGTAGGGTAATTAACAACATACTCCGGCAAAGAGTTTCATTGGCGAATGACCCTCTGTAGGAAAAAGGAGGAAGGTTGATTTATATGGCGCAGTTACCTTTTAAGCTGGTAACCATGTCGTCTGAGATTAGACTTGAATGTCATTTCAGAAAACGTTTCGCAGTCGACATCCAGATTATTTCGTCTTACGAACTGGAACGTTTCTATGTGGTCATCTCTGCCCTGCCTGTGGTGGAGAGGATAGAGGTTCAAGGCCGTCAGACGCTGCTCGTAAGTAAACTTACTAATGCCATGAACAGCCTTTGTAGCACGTCGTTGTACACCTTCAAGGATATCTGTATCTTTTCGAAGCCACGGCCGCCAAGCCTTACCGCATTTTCTATGTGCGGCCGCACAAATATCCCGAATACTTTGCCAAAGACATCTGTATTCAGGTGAATACACGTTCTCCGTATCCCGTATATAACTGACATTGCCCGCGCAACGACTTTAGAACGCTGCTCTTTGACGCTTAGATCGTCTTTAATGAATAAACCGAGCTCCTTCTGCACATCTACGTTTTTAAGTGGTTGGCTGTCTAGGAGATAATGTCGTGAGGGTGCACTTGTTCTTCGCCTCGCTGATACTACGTGCATTACTGAACATTCAGTGACGTGAAATTTCATGCACAATTTCTCGCTCCATGCGTGCAACAATAGGGTGTTGGGACCACAGCTAACGTGAGGTAGGGTTTGGACCGTGTCATACCTTGAGGAGTGGTAGAGGAGCTTTTATGGGTGGGGTAACACACAGGACGGAGAACGAGAAGCCACAGAAAATAAATCGATTTCTTCCGAAATTCTTATCTTGAG